ACGAGCTCCGTCCAAAACGTGATGCCTGGTCTGATTTTAAAAAGTAGGAAAAAAACAAGAGGAGACGTCATCAAAAAATTTACTCACCCACTGCTGTGTAGAAATCTCCGAACGACCTCCATTTCCCAAAAATCTTTGCCGACGATTCCTTTAATTTGAGAACACGCCGTTGTTTGTTGTTTATTGTCGTTGTCGTTGCTTTGTCCCAGTGGTTTCACTCGGAACTACGTCCAGAAGAAGTTCAGGAAAGAGCTGCCACCGATGCACATTTTCAAAGCGAAATCCTTGTGTTGATGTGAAACGCTTCGTGTTCTGATGGCTGTGGAGTCATTCACCGCCGAAGTCCATCGAAACGAACAAGCTTTCCATCTCTTCACAATGTCTCCCTTTCGAATGTACTGAATAACACATTTGATTTGAAAATATGCTAAAACGCAGTTTTCCCTACCACTTTCCGATAAGAGAGATGACGAGACAAACTCGGCAACAATATGCCGCCGGTCTTTCACCATTGCACATGTCGGCGCCTACCTTAGTGTGGTTGAATGCGGATTTGCGCTTCCCTGCCAGACAGTGCGGGAAGAATCAGCCCACAAGCCGACAAAAATACGAGGAGCATCGGCAACGAGCCGGACAAGATTGAAGTGACCTGGAGAGGTCAGTAGTGGAGGAACCAGTGGATCTGTCGTTCATCGAGCAATACGATGAACAACAAGAGACGAGCTCTAAACCTCCGCGATGCACCCGAAAAAGTGGAATCTGACAGAACGCATGAAATATTTCTTACATGAGCCTCACAGACTCTAGTGCGGCGAACTAAATACGAGGCTGGTTGTGATCCGCATTAAGTGCAACACCATTCCCTCTAATTTGGAAGCCTTCTGCACAAAATTGACCATTCGACCACTAATTAAAGATTTTATACAAGCTATATCTGGACGACCTGTTCACCCTAGGATTTCCTTCACTTAAGAAGGAGAAACCTGAATGTTAGGAGAAATTTCGTTACTGTCATTACTTACGAATTTCCCTACCATTTCGAAGGACTTTAAGAAAACTCTTTTTCTGTAGTGGGATGAAGACACTTTGTCATCCAATATGCTGACAGCAATCCTTAGAAAGCTGAGAAATTGAGAGTCACCAAAGATGCCTTTCAGTAATAGCGGGAGCAAACGCATCACCACTGATCTCCACGTGACCGCAGAAAACTGCTTATGTTTGTGCCAAGAATTCCTTGAGCAGAAAATGTCAGAAGTGCATGCTAAAACTACAATGGCAAAGGCGTATTTCAGAAGTTATGTAACTAAGCGAAAGATCGACTATCCATTAACCTCCACACTAATCACTAATTCATTAGTTCTTGGTGAGCAGACACGAAGTTGTCATTACAGTATTTACTCACATTTGTTGACTTTTCGGCAGTTTTACCTCCTTTTCTTCTACACTCTAAAAAAGGCGAAATCGTGTTACATTTTACCTTGGCCGGCAAACCTCAACGATGCCTTAGGTAGTAGTATTGCGCCCAAGTGGACGAAACCTTTTTACTTTTGTTGCTTCGATGTTTAAAACACGATCCTTAACGAATCAAGCGCCAAACGAAAGAAATTTGAACTCTAAAAACCTGTGAGTTCCATCGAGATTATGTTAGACAAGCTCACATGTAGTTTGAAAGAATCGCACGTTCTTAGGATTGTTGGCTTA